TCTTCAATTAGTGAACACTCGGAACAGAATTGGAGTAAAATGGAAACGACTCACCCAGATGATTTGATCTACCAGTTAACGCTTCGACTACGTAGAAGTCGACTCGACACTCGTTATAGAAATTATAGTTTTCTTTCGGGCGCTGCTTTGTAAAGGATTTTCCTCCGTAATCAGATTGACAGCTGCGCATCATGCAGCGGGGTCGGAGCCCGCGGTTTCAGGATTAAAACGCGGTAGCGAAAAATCTTTAGGTTCCGCACTCGATTTTTGCACTGATGACTGAATTAACTCGCGCACGATAATTGTAAGCTCTTGCACTGTTATAACCGGCACTTATCCCATTTTGGATGTCGGGTTCACATTATGATTAGGGTTAGGAGCGTGAAGCGAATCTTCATCTGGATTAGACATTATTTTTATGTAATAGAGCAGATATGATTATTACAGAATTTGACTCGAGAACCTAATGATAATGATCCTAGGTTCAATAACGATTCCGCGGTCAACGGGATAACAAAATGCAGTTCTGCCCGAGCAGTCGAGCTATGCGGACGTATGAATCAGTGCCTCCGTAAGTGCGACAAGTGGGGAAAACAAAGTGACTCAAGACCGAGCCAATCTCTAAATAATGGAAAATAAGCAACAAGTACCACCAATAAAAATACTACACAAAGGCGAAACATATTTTATAAACAGAGCTGTAGATACAACAAACCCAAAACAATCAACGAAGATCATGACTGCTCAGTTATAAAGGAAACAGAAACGGGAACTACACAAAAGAATGACGAGAAGAACAACAGCAACAACGATCTATCACACCAGAATGAAAACTGGAAGGTTGTAACTCCCAGTAAAAAATGAAAAATGACATCAAATACAAATGCTAGGAAATGCAAATACAAAGTCAACAATGGCTTCAAGAAATTCCTTTCCAAAACTCCTTCAGCGCACTGCCACAAGAGATGGAATCAGACCCAGCGAAAAAACCAAAAATGCACATCGCCAAACCACCACCAATCTACACCACCACACTCTAGATGCCCAAATTATAGATCCCCTAATTGAACTGCTAAACATCACGGCAGGTAAAGAAAATTACAGCATTAAGCAACTAAAACTGGACCAGGTAAAAGTCCAAACTAACACCCCGGAAACTTATAGAAAAGTGGTAAAAGTGTTAAAAGAGAAAAACGCCAGGTATCATACTTACCAGCTTAAAACTGATAAAAGTTACAAAGCAGTAATCAGAGGACTACACCCAAAGACAAATACAAGTAACATATGCGAAGAACTAGCCAAAATCGGACACCAGGTACGGGCGATAAATAACATAACCAGATATGATATTAAACAACCATTACCGCCATTTCTAATATAACTCGAACTTAAAAATAACAACAAGGAAATTTTCGAAATTAAAAATGTTCTCAACACAATAATTACAGTCGAGCCACCCAGACACAAAAAAGACATACCTCAATGTATGCGGTGTCAACATTATGGATATACAAAAAATTACTGCACCAGAAACCCAGCGTGTGTCAAATGCGCAGAAATGCATCTAACAACGAACTGCCCATACACGGGAAAAACGAACGATGTAAAATGTTACAACTGTAGTGGAAACCACCCAGCCAGCTACAAAGGCTGTATAGTCAGAAAACAACTTCAACGGAAACTGTCTCCGCCGCTTCGAAACAGGACATACAATAACTATCACAAACAACAAGACAGCGCGGAAATTGAGACATCAAGAAATGTACAGCACGTAATGAATATCAACCACAATAATACCAACACCAACGGTAGCCGAAGCTACGCGCAAGTAACCAAACAATCAACACCCTTAGACCACCAAAACCAGAATAATAACATCAACGACGCTATAGAAATCAAAGAACTACTAAAGCATCAAAAATACTGAAATGCTACCAAAAATGATAAGCGAACAAAACGCAGTCCTCAGACAGCAAACGCAACAAATCACAGTCATGCTAAAGCTACTTACAAACATGCTAAGCAAAAAATAAAAATGGACATGCTTAAAATAGCAGCCTGGAACTCTAACAGCCTACAACAAAGGGCCCTAGAAACTAAAACAATCCTGTATAACAATAATATCGACATACTACTTGTATCGGAAACACACTTCACTACAAAAAGTTACATAAAAATACCGTACTGCACCATACATGATACCAAGCATCCCTCAGGAAAAGCACACGGAGGGACTGCAGTAATAATAAGAAACGACATTAAACACCACTTACACAGCCAAGTTAGTAAGGAATATATACAAGCAACCACCGTTACTGTACAAACTAGCAGTAATCATTTACAATTGTCAGCAGTATATGTACCACTGCGACACAAAATTACATCACAAATGTGGGAATAGTACTTTAATTGTCAGCAGTATATGTACCACCCCGACACAAAATTACATCACAAATGTGGGAAGAGTACTTTCAACATTTAGGTGACAAGTATATCCAGCGGTACTAGTCAGGCACACTAACCCTGTAACAGCATTACTACAAGAACATATCAAAAAAATAGAAAAGTGGCTACAAGTTGAACAAATTAAAGCAAACCCCAATAAATGCAACCATATTACATTCACACTGCGAAAACAGATACCACCAAACATCTTTCTGAACGGCACGCACATAATACAAACAAGGCAAGTCAAATACCTAGGACTCCACATAGATACACAACTCACATGGAAACAGCATATCAAATCAATAACAGACAAAATACAGACAGCAAGGAGACAAATGCATTGGCTAACAAGTCGAAAATTCAAACTAAGTAGAGAAAATAAATTAAAAATATACAAAACGATCATAAAACCAATCTGGATGTACGGAATACCACTATGGGGAACAGCAGAGCCATATAAGCAAAATAGAGACAATGCAAGCTAAAATTCTTAGAACAATAGTAAACGCCCCATGGTACGTTAGAAACGAGGACATTCGGAAAGACCTGGAAATACCAACGGTCAAGGAGGAGATTAGTAGATGTGCAAGAAGGTGCAGAGAAAGAAAAGCAACGTATCCGAACCGGCTGGCAGCGGAAACGATTAACACATCAAGCATAGAAAGAAGACTAAAAAGGAAACACCCAGCAGGTCTCACAAAGGATATAACTTAACAAACACGAAGATGGTACCCGGCTGGGGGTAGTCACCCACATGATAATCAAACAGCCAATAAATTCTACCAACTGTCCAAATCGGACAAATTGTGAATGTAAACAACTAAATAAAAAAAAAAACAAAATGCGTATTGTTCCAAAGTCGAAGTTGTTCCTAACGTCCTTGTTAAACTCTTTGTTAAAACATAGAATATCCACTGGGCGTAAAAACATTACGTAACTCGTTAATGCCACCTCACGAGAGAATGACTTTGCAGAGGAAAACTATGATGGGGTGCGTCTAAATGCACGAGATTGTCACGTAAACTTAAGGGTTGGTTGATGAAATAAAATAGCTAAGTCGTAACTCAACTATTAATTTTGTTTTAATTAAACTTTATTGTAAATTCAGCAATCACAACAGAATACACGCTGAATTAACATAAATCGCAATTCACTCCAACCACGTTATTGAAAACTTAGTTACTCTGATACGTTAAGTTCGTGACTGTTATAAGGGTAGAGGCCGATAAAGATATGTTGACTATTCTAAGGATACAGAATAAGTGCGTCTTACTGACGATACTGTGTCTGGGGAAGGCTAGGGGTGGGTGTGTCTAAGGACACGGGACTATCGGATTTGTTGATGACAATTTTGATTAAGGAAGTGAGGGCAGTAGACACCGTCTCCGATTGGATAATAAGACGGTTGGTGGACCAAGAAGGGTTTTAGCTGCCCTTGCGAGAATGTTGCTAACGGAACATACCGGATGTGGGGAAAACCAACTTTCCATGTTAACACGTGGTAAACAATAAACATAAAAGGAAATCTAAGACAAGTGATACTCGCTTGGCCTGAAGGACCTTAACTATGAAAATTCCAAGACCCCTGGTGGGTTCTTAAGACTATTGAGGGTACGCGCCAAGGATATGCAGACATCTGGGTGCCATCCTGTCCGCGGTGTGTGGCCTGGTCTCTGATGTGAATTGACGTTACATTCGCATCGTCAGTATCTGAACAATCTGATTCAGCGCCACCAAACGCCGTAAATCAGACAACTTTTCACATCCGCAGCTCGTCACCAAGGCGCGACCTGGCGACAGTCACGATAGCGTCATCATTATCTGAACAATCTGGTTCAACACCACCAAACGCCGTAAATCAGACAACCTCTCACATCCTCAGCTTATTGCCTACAAGCGACTTGAGGACAACCTCTCACGATCTTCTGGACCGGAAGAAACTGGATCCCGTCCAGAACAACAGAGTCGATTTCGAATCAAAACCTACAGCAAAGGTTTCGAAATCCACGATCATCGGATTATCTACGAGCATTTCCTCCTCAATCAGCATTTCAACGTTCAATCTGACTTATACCACGCCGCCTGTATCACCTGAGAGCAGGAATATTATATCGGAGAGACATTTTCCTGGACACAATGAGAAGACGGCACCTTCGTCATTACCGAAAGGCGTCACACCTGCTAGTTACCCGAAGCGGAATAATCTTCACGTTATCACCACCGTGATGAATTCTTCAAATGAGATCGATAGTTGTCAGAACACCCCATCAGCTCTCATCATTTGTCCACTGAGTCCACAGCTGCATCGGTCAAGTCTCGGATCGCAAACATCTCACTGAAGTCACCCTTGGCTCCAACAACGCCGACATACTCTCCAATACCAAGGCAAGTTACAGTCACGACGTCCAACGCTCATTCTCCACCAAGAATCATCACTAAGAGAACGCGATTCGGGCGGGTCATCGGGGGAAGCCCAGCCTCCCAATCAACTACAAAACTCCGCGTCGTGTTGGACGAATCAGCACCAAGCAACACCGGAGTTCCGTTCAACGATGCCTCTTGGACAGAGCTGGTCCACTACATTTCGTGTAGTGTTCCATGATACTTCATGGGTAGAGGTGTTCCATGACACTTCCTGGGCCGATGTGTTCCATGACACTTCATGGGCAGAGGGGTTCCACGACACTTCCTGGGCCGAGGTGCTTCACGACACCTCCAAGATCGAGGCATTCAACGACACTTTCTGGGAGGAGATGTCCCATAACACTTCCTGCGACCAACCATTTGGCAACATGGACCGGAATGGCTACAACAACCTGAAGGATACTGGCCGACGTGGAACCCAGTACCATTAATCGAAATACCGGAGCAGAAGAAGGCCACCTGTCTGTCTGTGACTCCGGCTGACCATAGTCTACTGGAGAGATTCTCTTCTTGGCCCAAGCTAACAAGAATTACCGCTTGTTGCCTTCGATGGAGACAATAACAGGATCGAGAGAGACCTCTAACCACGCATGATTTAACCAATGCGCATAACAAACTGGTCAGATTATTACAACTCTGTTATTTTTCAGATGAAATCCGTACTCTCCGAACAGATCGAAATTCTGCAACGACTCAATCCATTTCTGGACAAGGACGGGATGTTGCGAGTCGGAGGCCGACTCAGCCACTCACCAATGCCTTTCAATCAGAAACATCCAATCATTCTACCCAAATCCTCAGTTACAGTGCTCATAATCGAGCATGAACACCTCCTGAATCTCCACTCCGGAACTCAAGCTACCTTATATGCCCTAAGAAGATCTTATTGGCTTATCGACGGCCGTAGTCAAGTTTGGAGTACGCTGAAGTGGATAGTCAAGTTTGGAGTGGCTGCGTCCGTTGCTGCTGCTTACGTATTGGGCGATCTTCCAGCTGCACAGATAACGGAATCTCGGCATTTACCAACGTCGGAATCGATCATTAGGGACCGTGTTACATCAAAGAATGAAAGGATCGTAGCCGACGAAAAATCAAGGTATATGTAGCAATCTTTGTATGTCTTGCAGTTAAAGCAGTCCACATCGAGCTGACCAACGGCCTTCATTGCTGCTCTGCGAAGATTCATCGCTCGCCGAGGATTCTGTGTAACAATCTACTCTGATAACGGTACCAACTTCGTTGGCGCCAATAACGAATTACGAAAGCTCCGAAACCTCCTGCAGTCCGACGATCATAAGGTTCAGTCCTTTTTAGCTGATCGACGGATCGAATGGCGCTTCATTCTTCCCAACTCATCTCACTTCGGCGGGTTGTGGGAGGCTGCAGTGAAATCCTTCAAACGACATCTCAGACGTGTCGTAGGTAACGAGCTTTTAACATTCGAAAACTTCAACATACTTATCATTAAAATTGAGTCTATCCTCAATTCTCGTCCTCTGACTCCAATATCATCAGATCCAAACGATCTTCTTGTCCTTACTCCCAGTCACTTCCTCATCGAAGATTCACTAACAAGTTTTCGAGAACGAGATTTCAGAGACACTCTATCCAATCGTCTCTCCAGCTGGCAATATATTCAAAAACTCAAACAACATTTCTGGCGCCGCTGGCATTGGGAGTATCTGAACGAGTTGAATACCCGAAACAAATGGAGCAAGGGCAGTCACGGCATACGAGAAGGCACCATCGTCATTCTCAGAGAAGACAACGTTCCTCCAATGCAATGGCCATTGGGCAGAATCATCAAGATCCAACCCGGCGCAGACGGTATCATACGGACGGCTACCGTTCGAACGGCAACGAGCATTCTGGATCGGAGCATCAAGCGGATGGTACCACTACCGAGCAGATCGACTCCAGATGACTCCGAAACAATCAACAGCACCGAAGTCTGACAAGAGATCCATCTCACAACATCACACCATACCACTTAATCGGTACCCTCTCAATGGGGGGAGTATGTTACGCCACGAGACTTACCACAGGTTTTTCTAACCGTCGCTCGCAGTCCTACAGTGTCGCAGACAGATCGTCTTATCTGCCCGACGGAACATATACAATGTATCGACGAGCGCATAGTTGTCACCAAGCAGCGAGTTCTAGAAACGTTGATTTTGGTCCGTTACGTTTTCCACACAAGAAGGCGGTATACGTGATTATAGGCGCGAACGATGACGTGATCCGAGCATAGTGGAGATCGTCTCTCAGAGAAGACAAAGAAATGATCGAAGGGCAATCAGTCTCTTCTGAAGAGTCAAACGTCATACATCAAGAAGTCTGACGATTAAAATTAAGGTCGCAGAGTCTAACGAATTCATTGAGAGATATCGTAAAGTCGGGTCGACTTTCTGTAACATATTTACTGTATTCATTGTTAAACAATGTGTGGCGTGTTCATCATATTATTGTTAAATATTGTCAAATATACCATTTTATGTTAACCTGTTAATACAGTGTTAAATTCATTGAACTACCCCTGTAATCAAAACAGAGGAACGATTATTTCGCGGCGTCGATTAGCAGAATCGTAGCGAGAATTTACGCCTCTCGCTGACGCGTTTTCCTCACAACCGCGTCTCTCCGCGAATGGTTATAACACTACTCTCTTCGTAATAGCGTTCTCTGTATACAAAAGGTCACGTGTATACAAAAGAGAAGATGTAAAGTTTTTCTTAAAGTAGTTACTTCAACATTTTCTTTGCCATTTCATTTGCTACCTAAGTACTATTTAAAGAATGAGTTTTTTAAAGAATGATTGTTGAAAATATTGCGTTACCTCATTTTACTGATTGTTGCTCAATCGGTTAATTCGATAGATGAGAAATTAATGACTCAAAACCCGACCGAAATATTGTAAGAATTAAACATTAGTACGTACAACTCGAAAAGTAAAACATATTTCTTTCATAGAATAATCACGATAGAATTTATTTACATTATCTACTTTACTAAATCAAGATGAAGAGTTACCTAATATAATGTAATAATTCAAGCGATATTGACGATAAGACAGAGCCAAGCGAACTGAACTAATAAGAACTTGCTCTTATCTTGCTAATATCAATGCTTGTACAAACAATCATATTAAAGTATTGCATTGTAATCCATTGCAGTATCGGCAAAGCCTTAAATTAAAACGCGCGTTTTAGATTACAATTGAACGTTTCGAAGAAATTCCGTGAATATAACAGACCATTTTCTGGTCACTATCCGACGATATAATAACTTCGATCGGGACAACACGTCAATTGATAAGATTAGAAAAATTAGGTATATTTTTGATAATAGCGCATCCATGCGTACCTTATAAAGCATGAACACTTGCAGAGGTAGGCTTTCATAAGGCAATCGTTGACGTGTAACTACCTAGCTGACATTTTACGTAGCCGACTGAGCGATTGATTTGTAAGGTATGTTGAGCTAATGACTGACGTATTTTTCCGACGATTTCGAGACATTGCTACAAAAATATCAATTTCTATATCGATCGAAATATGAAAGTCATAATGATCAGAGTTATTAAGGAAGCTATTACGTTTTCTTCTTATCACTAAATCATTCGATGGATTACGCGTATACGATTCCATCTATATTTCTTACAGTATTATCTTCTCATTCGTATCTCATAAATATTTGCAAGCGAGCTGAAACGTTAGATACGTATGTACATTGAAAATCTATGGCAGGTTACAAACGAATCTGGCGTAGTATTTAATTACATACGCTCAAATTAACGTTTCGCGTGATTTACAAGTAAAATCGAGTAAAGAAATTTCATCAACATTCACGAGCCGAAATAATAATATATAAATAAATAATATACCTTACAAAATAGAAAATAAACGTGGGTCATCCAGTGGATGCGCTTATTTGCCGAATCGATCCAAGATGGCAAGAATATTGATACTGTTCCTTATCAATCTGATGTTCCCGAATCTTCTACTTGGAGACGTGATCAGCTCTCAAGTCGACGATTTAAGCTATAGACTACCAATAGAAATCAAGCCAAATTTTTATGAACTAAATTTGACAGTGAATTTGAATTCAAATTTATCAGAAACAGACTTCAAATTTACCGGTGAAGTGAAGATCGACATTGTAGCTGAAACACAGGATGTCCGGTCAATAACACTGAACATGAAGAACCTCACTATAAAGAATATTAGCCTGTACCATTCAAATAAAACCGCTATTAAGCTGGATAGTACTGTATATGACGACGTACATGAATTTTTAATTATCATGCTTGATGACAAGCTTAAGAAGGGAAACAACTACTTGCTTACTGTGAGCTATTCCGGAGTCGTAAACGATCAATTAAGAGGATTTTACAGGAGCAGATCTGCCGACAAAAATGGCAATCTAATGTAAGAATACCTTCTTATATAGTTCGCAAGTCATCTCTTAGATAAATTTTTCATTTTGTATTCATTTTGCAAAATTACGACTGACTATTGCATTTCGAGAACTTTATTTTCATGTTGTAGATATGTGGCTGCGACTCATTTCGAGCCAACAGGTGCACGGTTAGCGTTCCCTTGTTGGGATGAGCCTGCTTTCAAGGCACGCTTCAACATTTCTATAACCCATTCGAAATCTTACCATGCGATTTCGAACATGCCAGTTGAAGAACTAAAAGTGGAAAACGACATGAAGACAACTAAGTTCAAAACAACTCCACGGATGTCCACTTATTTAGTGGCATTCATAGTCTCCAATTATGAATGCAACGAAGATGGCATGTTCAGAGTGTGTACTAAGCCACAGGCAGTGAATCAGACACATTACGCCTTAGAAAAGGGTAAAAAATTGCTAGACGCTTTAAATGAATATACCGCAATCAATTTCAGCCATTATTTACCAAAAATGGATCAAGTATCGCTGAAGGACTTTTCGGCAGGCGCTATGGAGAATTGGGGTCTCGTCACTTACAGGTAATTGTTGCAGCCCGTAATCAACGTTGGTCAAAATCACAATTCGATTTAACAGGTCAAAGTTCAAATTTCAACGGCAAACTCATCGCATGTTCGTCCAAATCGTATAAGAGTTTTTAGGATCGGATGATGAATCAAACATATAACATATCAGTAGAGTTTTAATAGTATGCTTTCTTAAAATTAGAAATTTTATTTTTAAGAAAACCAAATGTCATGGCTTTTTGTCTACATGAGGTTTATACATATGCATATCTAGTTTAGAAATCTGATTCATCAACGAATAACGTCTATAATTGCTAAGCTACCGTTAAACACATTCTTTTAAATTGTCTCAAAATAAAGAGCCTCGCCCTAAATTCCAGATTAAGAAAATTCTAAGTAAAAATCTCAATGACAGTAAATAAATTTTAAAAGTAATCATATCTCATGTATAGATCTGCAGTTAATGCAATATTAAAATCTATTTAAAATATATTATATTTTTGATGGCAGACTTCAATCGAAACTTTTCATTTCAGGGAGTCCGCTCTCCTTTATCAAGACGGTGTTACCACAACTCGTACGAAGCAAAGTATAACTACGATTATAGCCCACGAATTTACACATCAGTGGTTTGGAAATCTAGTTAGTCCAGAATGGTGGACGTGGATTTGGTTGAATGAAGGATTTGCAGACTACTTCCAATACATTATTACTCATAAAGTAAGTGTAATAAATAAATCTTCTACTTATATTCTATTAATTTGTTATAAGGGAATTGTTATAAACTGGATAATAAATTTTTGTTGCATTCAAAATTTTAATTCTCAGTTGCTCATATTTTATATGACTATTAATATAGCTACACATTCTATGTATGTTTCTGACCTCTACATCAATTAACGACTAGTATATCTTTTACCATTAAATTCTTGCCGAGTACTTTAAACGTATTCTTGTATCATATCTAGTACATTTGTAATATATTTGTAGGTACTACCCGAATGGCGATTAGACGAAGTGTTTGTCGTTGACAACATACAAGGAAACGCTTTCATTGCAGATGCAGGCGAAAATCCGCGTCCCATGAACAAGAACGCGAAGACGTCTCAAGAAATTAGTAGATTGTTCGACAATATTGCGTATCAGAAAGGTAAGAGATTTTCTCATTGTTATTAGAAGTAATTCCCAATACATATGTTCGAGAATATTAAGAGCAAAGTTCGACGCAACATTTTTAACATCAGATAAAAGATATAAACGAATACGATGTGAGCTTCGACAGTTTCTTCTTATTGGCTAATGTCAAGGGTAAGAGATAATAGGTACCTACGTATCTTATCAATTAATTCATATATTAAACCTTAGGCCTAAACATTATCAGACAAAAGATAAAAGGTGAGACTTTCGACGATAAATAGTTAGGAGTCGTCCTATAACGGATCTGTTTTTAATTTTTACAGAATTTAAATTTTTCATATAGAATCATCGAAATAAAATACACACACTATTGCTCATGAAGTACAATACATACACTATAATTCGCGAAAGTATATGAACTCGTATGAATATATTATACAAAATAATATATTATACATTTGAAATTTCTTTAGGCATTGTCATGAGATACGATTGTCATTATTATATTGGTACGATTTATAAAAAGATCTTTTGATAAAATATTTAAATAGAAAGTTACAAAATATTTATTACAAGTATAGGCTTCGCAAAGATTAACCAAGTATTCCAACAGTCAATTATTCATTACACTGTTTACGCTGTTCATTAATTTTTTACTAGCAATAAGTGTATTTCTTGCAATAAATTACTGCTAATTATACTTTTGAGTTAATTACAAATTTTACCAACATAATCAGGTAGTTATGTTTCATTAATGAAATTTTAAAAAGTTTCGAGTAACGGACACAATATATCCATCCATAATTTTCAAAAATTTTCTACGGCAAGTGTTCACATACTTTCATGAAGCATTTTAAGTGTTCGCACACCTTAGCCGATTTGCAACAGAAGAAAATTAATGTTAATAAACTAAGTAAGTAAATGAGCAACTTATGATCAAAAACAGCATATATCATCTTCTCGTAAATATCTATCAATAAATAGTAAAATGTAATTATTCTCCTTAAAGTTCACCAACAGTATTGTAGGATCTTTACTACAACTAATTTACTTACACTAAATGGATTAAACAGATGTTGGTTAAAAAGGAAAGGATGGTTATTTAACGTGAACTATATACAATAATGTACACTATATACCATAATTTAGACAACTAAATAGTTAATTTGCAACTCTCGCCATTACGGATACAACGTTCTCTCTTACGCGGACCACACTCTCTCGACAACGCAATTTGCACACTGACTTCTCGATTGACACTCTTTGACTTCTCAACTCACACTTTCTAACTTCTCAACTAACACTCTGACTGTTAATTCGTCTTTCTCCCTTAGCATCGCGTAAAATCACAAATCACAACTCACAACAGATTATATAAAAATAACAAGGTTGAGCCGAAACACAACTATTAACTTTCTTTTTATTACACTTTATTATGCACTCAATAGTCACAATTTAGTATACACTGAATTAACACATATATATTACACTTTACTCTAGCAACTTTATATAAATTAAGTAGGCGACTGACCTAAGGGTAGAAACCCGGTAAAGAGATGTTAACTGTTCGAAAGATGAAAAATCAATCAAGTTTAGTGACGATGTTGTGGCGGAGGAAAGCTAGTGATGGGTGAGTCTAAGGACACGAAAAGAGCTGATTTGTTAAGGGCAAGTTTTCATTAGGAAAGTGAGGGAAATAGACTTCGCTGTTAATTAGCTGATTTTCTAGGTTGGTGGGTGAGGAAGGGTGCTAACCGCCCTTGAGAAGAAGTTGCTAACGGAAGATACCGAACGCGAGAAAACTAACTTTCCCGTATCTTCCCGTAGTAAACAAAAATGTAAAGAACACTCGGAATAAAAGATTACCTCTTTTTGATCTGAAGGACGTTAACCATGAAAATGCCAAGATTTATGGTGGGTCCTTAAGATTATTGAGGGTACGCAGTAAGATGTGTAGACATCTGGTTGCCATCTTGCCCTCGGTGTGCGACCTGGTCTCTGATGTGGAATGATGTTACATGGCCAGGGCCACGCAGGCCTTTTCCGCGAAACTACTCGATTGTAGGATCGACGGTATGTCACGTAAACTTAAGGGTTGGTTGATGAAATAAAATAGCTGTGTCGTAACACAACTATTGTCATTATTTCACAGTACAGGTTTACACTGAACGGAGAGATGTTCACTGTTCGATGGTTTTGTCTATTTTTCCCCTAGGTGTTCTCGTCTCATTATGGAGGAAAGCTCGGTGTGGGTGTGCCCTTTTTAATTAACAATGCGGATTCGCTGTTCGCATCTTCCGTTAGAAAAAGTGAGGGTAACGATCCACGATGCCAATTGGTTATAGGTCATGTTAATAAATGAAGATAGGAGGAGAAAGCCTCCTACCAACGCGGCTAGTAGGTAATATCGTTTATGGAAAAAACCAGCTTTTTCGTTAGTCAAGTATTGGGGTTTTCCCATTAGGTAAATACCTGCTTTCCCCGTAATTAGTAAAGACATATAACAACCTAAGGGCTCTTTCAAGGACCATCCATAAACAGATAACAGAAATAATAAACTTAAAAAGTTTAGGTTTATGGTAGGTCCCTGGGGTAATTGAGGCTGCGCGGTGGCCTCTGATAAAATTGACGTTATAGATACATTGTTGGGCCTGTCGGCACTTCGGCTTTCTCGCGACATTGTTTATATTGTAAATTCGCATGTTCGTGAGGAGACGCGATCTCGAGGAAGCGCGCCAACAGGAGTCGTAAATTCCCTTTACGATTGACTAATCGACGCCACGAATCGTTCGATCCCTTATTTCTTGTGGGATAATAAGGGTAGTTAACTTGAATATAAAGCTGCTGTTAACAGGTATTATACGTCGGGTTTACATTAGAATTAGGGTTAGGGGCGTGAAACGAATCTTCGTTTGGGTTACACGTTGTCGCTATGCAATAGAGAAGACATTGACTAGTGCAAATACGATTATTATAGAACCGGACAAGTAACCGCGGTAGTTAGGTACACGAGAAACTAATGACAATGATCCTAGGTTCAATAACGAAT